GAATCAGATTTGCTCTCTTTAAATAGTCACCAAGTAAGACTCATGAATCCTACATGTCTTTTATACAAGATAGGTTCATTGTTTTATTTATTCTGCTTATAAGTGAAAAGATGGTGACATTGTTGCTGCAAATGCTGACATTTGGTGGGCCAGTGGTGGGAACACATGGTAGCATATGTGAAAGGTGCTAATAGGGAGCTCAATCCCTGTGTACATTCCACAGTGTGTTGGCACAAATCTAGGTAGGTGGTAGAGGCTGGTCACTTGATGACACCTTTTGATACAGTCAAGAGATGGAGTAAACACAAGTTATGTGAGGCTGCTCCCAGTATAACATGATACACTGTTTTATAGGACATTTATAAGTAGAAAGAGTATACTCTAAAATAACAATGTAAGTACAGAAGTAAATACATAAGCCAGTAATATGTTCATTAATTATCAGTATCAAGTATTATGTACAATACATAATTATATGTGCTATACTTTTATGTGACTGGCAGTGTACTGGCAGTTAGTTTTTTTATGCTAGCATCACCACAAACTCATGTGTTGCATATGATGGTGTAATATGATGGTCACTAAGTCATTAGGCAATGGAAATTTTCAGCTCCATTACAGTCTTACCAGATTGCCATTGCATATGCGATCTTGATGTTGGAATCCTCTGGCTTTTGATTCTCCTGGCTGGCTAAGCCAAAATGTTATCAGGTAGGTCTTTCTAAAATTGGCTTGCCAAATAATATTGCCAGGTGCTGGGCTCCTCACTTCTTCTGGAGTGGGACTCCAGGTTCTTATCTTGAATGAAGAATTGAGTGAAACAAGCAAAAAGCAGTGACAAGTTTTTTTTGAAAAAGTAAAAGTGAAGAGTCGAAGCTGGCTCTGTAGAACAAGGTTGGGCTGAGTAAAAGAAAAAAGCAAGATAAAGTAATACCTTGGAAAAAGCTGGACAGGCTGTCACAAGAAGGTCTTGGTGCTGTGTCTCGTTACAGTGTGTTAATCTTAAGGAAAACCTGTGAGAACTACACACGGGTTCTGGGATTCCATACCATGCTGACATCAGGTCTAGACCATCCTACTGAAAACCTGCTGTAGTCCTCACAAGAGATTGAGGTGCACAGAAAATTTATGGCATGAACTATTCCTGTTTCCTATTCCCCAGCTCCCAACTGTGTGCACTAAAGTCCTTTTATCACTTAAGTGTGTCCTATTTCTTCTCTCAGTATATCTTTCCTACTTTTAACCTTCATCATTCTTGGAATTCACTCTTCAATTTCAGGAAACTTGAATTTGACAGACAATGGGAATTATCTCTCTTCTAAATCACCCACTCAATGAAATTTAATTTTTTTAATTAGGTGATAGAGCCAAATCATCAAAACCTGAATAACTTATAGCAGTTTCTTCTGGTGGGTTCTGAGTTGGCCATTTACATTTTTGCCATCTCCATTTCAAAATGTGTGTCATTGTTAGATTGAAGCAAATGGTATGATTCCAAATCAGTAGGATCTGTCTGGCCATTCCCATAAAGCTGTTCCTGCCAAGTATGCACTCTTTTCTGTGAAAGTGATTTAACACCTAAGTACATGAACATTGGAATCATATATACCTAGGTTACTTAGGACTAGAAGTTAGCATGCAAGGAAAATGTGGATACTCTGGAGTTCTCACCAATCTCTGACCTACACTGGCTTCTTACCACTTCCCCATTTGTTCTCCTTTTAATTCACTTACCATAGGTTCCCTCTTTGCCACCCTCCATTGTCGCATGTTTACCACACAAGAGCCATCAACAGACTTGGTCAGCTTGGCTATGTTTTCTGCTTGCAGATATTTTTTCCACTGCCCCATTTTGCTTTATGGATTAAGAGTCATGGATGAATGTAACTAGGGATGTGTGTCCACATGTGTCAATTACACAAATCTTCAAAACCAACAGACTTTACATGGTTACGCAGCCATACTTACCCTCACACTGAGAATATTTTGTTGATCTGACTGAACTAAATCACGTACTGTTTGGTGGGTCTTTGGAGTTAATATATTATGTGCACTGTTTGGCAGAAAACTTGGAGAGTTACAGCATTTTATTTTTAGTAACATTTTTAATAGATGATACTTTGAGTTGGTAAGTTATTCATATGATTTCTAAGTATGCAAATGTTCAGAGCACCCCTCAAGTATATTTTTCTCCTGATTATTTGAAAATTAGAAACTAAAACAAATTGAGGGAATATGTTAAAGAATTATTGATTTGGAATAAAGTTCGTAATTTCAAAAGCACTGTGTAGCAAAGATGAAATTTCCATGTTCACTATTGATCTGTTCTCATTCTGAAGGGAATTTTATCTAAATGTTTTGTTATTGTTGGCAAGAAAGTAAAGCCCGAATCTTCCCTCAGTGATTTGTTTTTCTCAATCTTGGCTTTTGGACCAAAATAATAAGTTAATTATTTTGCCATAAACTTAGCATTTCTTCAAAATTGCACAGTATTCTTGACTATCAAAAAACTACTTTGCCTAAAATATACACTTTTTTTAAGCATAAGAGTGTAAGACATATAGATACACACACATATCTGCCACATATTTATGTGTATGCAGGCTAAGATTTGGCTCTCTGACAAAATCCAATTTTGTGTACTTTGAGAAAACAGATTAAGCTGAAAACATGTGTTTCAGTTTTTCTCCATTGTCAAGAGATGAGGAGTGGGGACTATTACAAGTAATGGATAATTTACCCTGACCTTCAAATTATCAACAATGTAGGCTCCTCAGAATAACACATAATAAACACTATGCATATTTACATAGGAATCATAACACTAAGAGTGAATTTGGGAGGAAAATGTCAAAAATGGCCTCTAACAATTATTTTCTTGGATTTTATTTACTAGTTCAATAGAGATATACTATGCGAAGACATTTATGTTTTCTTCGAATGGAAAGCATAAAAATGACTAGAGTTTCCTGTTGTAACTGAGAATGAAGGAGAGCTGTGAGCCATTAACTTCCTGAGTGGCTACATTCCAACTGTGCATAACTCATCTGCCAATCAGAATGGGCCTCGGAGGGAAGCCCTTGGATGCTGAGGCTTGTTTACATGCATCGTGCCTCTGTTTCTCCCCTCTGCTTAAATAAACTGTACAAAACTAGGATCACGGCCACAGCAAATGACATTCTGGGTAGAATTTTAGTTCATCTTTTGCCACAGGTAAGAGTTACTGCTTTGTTTTATGAAGATGACTGATCTCAATCCAGTTTCTAGTTTTACTTTTGATAGCAAACAGACTAAAACCAAGAGAATGATTTTTTAAAGCAATTACAGTGTCCTAGAATTCTATTTAAAGGAGCAGTTAAAACTAAGTGAAGACAAACTTTTAAAAGATGCTGTAATATTAAATCAGTGTAGAGAAATTAGAACCAGAAGCATCAACATTATGCACTTGGAGAACATTGTATCTAAACAAACATGTTTTATTGTGAATATTTCTACTTGTTAATCTTTTAAAAAATAATGTCTTAGTGTGTTCTGCCTCCCTGGCTTAAAATTTTTCTATTATAAACCCTTTCAGAGAGAATTGTTATACACATTTAAGTGTGTAAGTCCTATTCCTTTTTTCCCCCTCTGTATTTCTCTCTAGAAGTTTTTAAGAGTACCTTTTTATCATACTGTTTGTATAGCTCTACAGCAATAAAATTAAAGGTAAAAAAGAACTTCTGTCTAGTCTAGGTTTTGCCATTAAATTCTATCTTGATAGCATAAATTCAGAAGATACTCTAGGAATGATATTTCATAGGAATTTTTGAAGAATAATTATGTAGGACTCGTGGTTTGTATATAGCTTTATTTTTTAATTAAGCATATACTAAGAAAATCGTTACTCAGATTTTTAAGACTACCAGGCATAGTTACACATCTGTAACAATTGCAATCAAGAAGCTGAGTCAGGAAGACAACTGCAAGTCTAAGGCCATGTTGGGCTGCATAGTGAGTTCAAGGCCAGCCTGAAATTTATAGTGAGATCTTGTCTCAAAAAATAAAGACTTTGTGTGGGTTTTGTGGTTCTCTTGTATTTGACAGTCTGTAGGTTAACTAATAGCATTTTGTAGTAGTCTAGAAAAGCACTTTCACACATCAGCCATCTCTGCTTTTATTTCATATCCTCTACCAAAATCTTCACGTTTAACACTTCTGATGTGTTTTATGAAATAATTCTTTTAGGAGATGGTTCCCTCCTAAAAGGGACACTTAGCATTTCTGGTCTCTACCTAAAAAGGGTCTTTCCCCAGGGGGACATATGCAGGACACTTAGCATTTCTGGTCTCTACCTAAAAAGGGTCTTTCCCCGGGGGGACAATCAAAATGTTTATTTCTGTGTGTGTGTGTGTGTGTGTGTGTGTGTGTGTGTGTGTGTGTGTGTGTGTAAGAGAGAGAGAGAGAAAGAGAGAGAGAGAGAGAGAGAACCTAATTACTGATGTGAAACACAGAAGTCCAACTTCTGTGTGTTCTGGATTATAGAGAGTTAAGGGTGAGGCTGTTTTGGCCTTAGTGTATTTGCAGATGTTGTAGCCAATTGCTCATTTTTTCCCCCTCCCCATTCTGTTAGTCTTCTGCCAACCATGATTCATGGAATGATTTTTTTGAGCTGAGTAATCTGTGGCTTTTCTGTTTCCTTACTTTCCTTTCCTTGCTAAATCTGTTTTGGTTTCAGCAAAGTATTTAACACAGCAAAAGTCTTTTACATGAAATAATATTTGTGAATGATGTATTTTCCAAGTAGGTGATTTTAGCGAACCATAAAGTTTCTGCTCCAATTCTTTACTGTGTGCTTTCTGCCTCCCTGTTAGTAAGTCCCCTCTACACCGAGGAGGAGCACCGTTCAGGGAGAGACACAGCTACCTTGTGACACCTAAGGGTATGGCGGCTGGTACCAAAGAACTTTTTTTTCAATGGCTTTTTAAGAGCGTTTGACTTACAACGGTTTTCTTCCTTTGCAGATCGCAACGAACGAAATAAACCAGAGCATCGTTCTTCCAGGTATGAATTTATGGTATTTAATGATTCTGCATAAAATTTCTTATTTGGAAAACATTGGAGACAATATTTGTCCCATCTAGTGTTACTATGTACTGGAAGTTTCTGTGGCATTCAGAGAAGCTTCATTAGTAAATATTTTTCGTTCTCTAAAAAAAATTTCTACCTACTTGGAAGGCATGTTTTATTTTTAGAATTCCTATCAGTGACAGATCATAGTCATAAAAGATGATTTTCATTTGCTTTTATAGCTTACTTCATTCTCTTTCATCAGTATTTTTATAAATGTATATTCCTCTTTTCCTAATTATACAACTAATATAGGCCTGAGAATATAGTACAATGATAGAGCTGCTTGCCTAGCATGTACTGCATTCAGTCTTCAGCACTGTGAGCAGAACAAAACAAAACAAAACCTCAATATCTCACTGTAGAATTTCAGAAAATATTTTTAAACATGCAAAAAAAAAAAAAAACGGAAAAACAGTATCTGCACTGCCTTCTTCAAGGTAGCTGGCTAATATAACTAAGATTTTGTTGTCTTTCTTTCTATACTTTTTATAAACACATATGCGCACACAGACACACATAAATTCTTCTCTGTTCTTTCAGTAATTTCAAATGACCAGAAAGGTTATGTGCCTCTTAAGCTTTACACCTACACTAAGAGTGTTTCACTCAACTTCCACTGGTGCTGAAGAGTATTCCTCAGAATCTTCTCAAACTTGTAAAAGTAGAAATCTGTCTTAACTTTTTCTCCTAGGTAACACTGACAGGCTAAATTAGATACATATTTTTAGAAATTTTTAGTTTTCTTAGTACATGTTTGCAATACATATGGTTACTTTCATCCTGGGAGGTCAGTACATGTACATAACACATTCTTTTTACTTCTCATTCCCGCTTTCCAACTATAATAGAAATTTTAATTCATTCTATCAAAGATTGTAATTTTTCTAATAATTCTTCCTTATTCCATAGTCTATTACTTTCATTTTGTTCTTTTGTGCATTGTGGCAACTGATAAAATAGCAATAATCCATTTAACAAATCCTTTGTCAAGGAATTAAACTCTAGCCTATATTGACCTCAATGAATAAAAATGTAAAATCTCTGGTAACTTTATACTTAGAATAAAAATGCATTTTGAAGATATTGTCAAAAATGTTAGAACTAATCCAAGAAAAAAATATAGCTGGGTATTTAGAATATTGACTGATTTTTTTTAAGGTATATATTTTGGTTGTATACAGAAATTCACTACTCCTTTTTATGTGTGGTTTTATGAGTTTCAGCAAACATAAATTGTGTCTACTCTTATAAATAATATACTTTGTAAGACTGATTTTTAAATTGTTCATAAAAGTAGCCCAGAAAATGCTGCCTAAAAGAAAATTTTGAGAGCATAATTGCATATTTAAGTTGGAATGGTAGGGCAAAAAAAAAAAAACCTGGGATGATAAAACATGGATTCATAAGAACTTTGACATCCTGAAGGTTCAAATGAATTGAGCATTATATATTGTAATATTTAGCACCAATGCTTATACAAAAACACCAGAGTGACATAAAAAGATGGGGAAGATGTAACTTAAGCAGTATATTGAAAAAATCTTGAAGATTTAGCTCTTCATAAATTCATCATGAGTCAAAAATTTTATGATTGCTTCCACTTCCCCCCAGAAGTTTGCATTGATTTACTTACCATGAAATAAGTATAATACATAATGCAAGTAAAGGTGGTAGCTGAAAGACCACACTTTTTATGTAGTTCTATAAAAGGGTTTTCTTTTCCTTGGTACCGGGGATCGAGCTCACAACCTTGCACTTGCCAGGTGAGCGCCTATGCCGCTGAGCTAAATCCCTGGCCCCCTACATAAAAGTTTTGTTGTTGTTGTTTTTAACTGTATCCAGTTCCAGGTTCACAAGGGCTTGGACAAATTCATGTATGCCCTAAATTTCTCTGTTGATCATATAGGGAGCTTAAAAAACAAAAATCTCATGTCCTGCTCCAGACTACTCAGTAGTCTGGAATAAATCTTCAAAATCTGTGTGTTAAACAGGTTCCCAGTTATTCTAATGTGTAGCCAGGTATGGACCTCTGATCTAGCAGTTGAGTTGGGACAGGGAAGATGATACAAAGAAGAAAGTCAGTGCTAAATTAGAGGAAATGTAGTGTGAAGAATTAGGAAAATTCATCCTAGTCTTGGAAGTCTGGGGAGGTATATGGGACAAAGAACCCATCAATGACTTCAAATATCTAGAGCCTAGTATATGAGAGACTAGCAGAGTTACTCATTTAAAATGAGTTTAAAATAGTTTTGCAGTTCCTAGTTAAGAGAAGGCATGGTGCTTGGAGAAGTAGCTGATTTCTTGTCTGGGATAGGGGAAGTGCAAGATGAGCCTGTTTCCTAGTTGAGATAAAAAGCTAGTAAGTATTCGCAGTTAATGGGGTTGCCAAAAGAAGGCTAGGTGGTAGCTTCAGGAGACTTATTGGCCAAATTTGGGACAATATGAGCATCAGAAGGTGGAAACCCTATGGTCAGCACCTTAATAAAATTGTCAGTGTGAGTACTATTACTTGAGAGACAAGCTGGCAGTGTGTGTGTCCAGATGATGCCACCAGCGGTACACACTCACAGCACATACAAAGTAGTTGCAAATTAAAAAATAAGATATTTTGTCTTTGTCTTGAAAAATACAGAAAGGCTGGGAGAATATTTCAGATTGAAAGAGACCAGAGAGACATGGACAACCAAATGCAATATATGCATTTTAAAAAAAATAAAATCTGTGGGTTAAAAAAAAAAAAACTCAACTAGAGGAATTGGAGAGGGGGCAATCAAGAAAGTTTAGATCTGGATTTTAGTTTGGATAGTATTTATTAACATTACTCGCTTAGGTGCAGAATAGAAATGTGATTCTTGGGAGATAATAGATGTAGTTTTATTTTTGGAACCTACTCAGGTAATTCATGGGGTAGAAACGGGGAGAAATGGTAAAGCTTATATGGGAAACTATTAGTGATAAAAGAAGTGCATTACAGGGGTAGATTGTTATGTAGTTGTATTGTTTTCCTCAACTGCTCTGAAAACTTGTAATTTTCAGTGAAGAAAGTGGTATGCCAGATGTGGTAGTGCATGCCTTTAATCAATCCTAGCATTCAGGAGGCTAACTCGCTGCGAGTTTGAGGCCAGCCTGGGTTACATAGAGTTTGAGGCCAGCTGAACTACATAGTGAGACCCTGTCTCAAAACAGAGTAAAAAGAAAGTGGCAGGGAGGGAACTGTCGTTCAGTGTATTCAGCAGGTCTCAGAGGGCAGAATGCCTATCTGTAGTCAGAATGTTTAGGGGATGGATTTGTACATAGTATGAGGAAGAATTTCCTGTCAGAACCAAACAAAGATGGAATGACCAGCTCTGTGAGCAAATACTGTCAAGGAAAGCTAAACAAGCCTCCTGGGAATAAAAACAGAGAAGTTTCCCACTGAAGAAAGTCAGTATTCTGGATGGCTCAGCCCTCGCTTACTTAATAGCCAATAAATATTTGTTGGGAGTCCCTATTGCAACTCTTGGTAGAATTGAAAACAGGAAGAAGAAAAAAAAAGGTTTGACTTCATGGACCATCTATTGTTTGATTTATCTGCTCAATCTCTGAGAGTCTGTTTAGCCTAAAGTCATGATCAGGTCTTTGGCTGGTTTTTGTTTCAGGCTATCTCTGTGGTATTCTTGAGAGTTCTTGATGATTATTATTATTGTTATTATTACTTTTTTTACCATATATTAAACCCAAGGGCACTACGCCATTGAGCTGTATCTCCAGCCCCCCTTTTAAAAATATATGTATTATTTATTTTGCATTGCTGAGGACTGGACCCAGAGCTTTGTGGAATGGCTACGCTCCCCAACCCTTTGTACTTTTCTTTTTATTTTGAGATAGGATCTTACTAAATTGTCCAGAGTGGGCTTAAACTTGCAATCCTCTTGCCTCAGCTTCCCAGAGTGATAGGGTGACGAGTATCCTGATTATCCTTTCACCTCCAATTTATACTGTCAGATTCTCTAGGACTGTGCAATTAGTCTTGGTAACTCGAGCAGTAGTAGAGCAGCTAGTCCACAAGAAGCATTAATAATGCTGAATAAATGAATAACGTTGAATAAATATTTCAAGGGGAGAATAGGGAACGTCAGTATTTTTCTCTTGCAATTTGGGAAGAGTTCGAAATTGCAAAGCTTGCCCATGACTGTTATTGAATATGTTTGTTGCACGAACAGCAAGGAAGAATGCCCCATAAGGAAAAAAAAAATTTTTCAAAAGAGCATTGTTTTGTTTTCAGGTTATCTACTAAGACTGGCAGTGCACTGTTCTGTCCTGTGGCAGGCAGGGCTACCCCAGCAGGCCAGCAGTGTGTAGTCAAGCAGATTAATACCCGCTGCGTCTGTGGGGCCCAAAGAAGGAATATAAACAAAAGTCACTTAATTTCAGTATGGTGTTTTTGGTTCTCCTCAGGCCACTTGGCAAGAAGAATGATGGGCCAGATGTTCCACAAGAATAAGAGAAATGCATTTCTCTTGTTTATGTTTTTACAAGGCCAAATACTTCTATAGCTTTCAGTGAGAGGTGCATAAATCTGATATGTCTATCTCTACTTTCATTCCAGTGCTGAATAAAAAGGAAGCATAACTCTTGTCAAGTTAAGGGGAAAGTTTTATCAAATATAGAGCAGCTCTAAAGAACCCAAGCTAAAAAGTACTGTTGTAAGCATTTTTAAGAGGCCTGATGGGTGTCTTTTTTTTTTTTTTTTTTTCCTTTTCATCGGTACCGGGGATCGAACTCACAACTGCCTGCTTGCAAGGCGAGTGCTTATGCCGCTAAGCTAAATCCCCAGCCCCTGGGTGTCTTGATTACTTGATTTGGTGTTTTCTTTTTTTTTTTTGTTAATTACTTGCTTGTTGCTGATTGATCAACGTGGAAGTCAGAAACATATACCTGAATTATTATTT